TGTGTTGCATGCACAACTTGGAATTACAGGATGCAGGTTGAGCACTATTTTGTTCATGTCTGCACGTTTGGCTGAGTAAGCCAGGCTATCTTCTTATGTAGGCTTACAATCTCTTTAGGTTCTTCCAAATTAGAAAACAGCTACAAGGTATTATTTTGATGGATAACTTCCTATGATGACACCTGGGCAGATCTTTATTAAGTCTGTTTTTCCATAGGCCTGTTATTCAGAGTTCTGAAGGTAAAAAACTATACAGAGGGAGTGGTGGAGAGATGCATGTATTTACTTGCTCTTTTTTAGGTTCACCATTTTCTTAGAAAAACACATAATTCCCCTTAAGATACATCCAACAAACTTGGCCTTTCACAAGGACCCTATCTGTAACATGAAGCATCACTCACTGTGTTAGGAGCATGTTCTGGGTAAGTGAACTGCAGCTTCCAGGATGGATTTCTCAGTGATGGATAAAGGATGTTTATGTCTTCATCTTTTATCCTTTTGAAGGGATGGGATAAACATAGAACTAAAAATAAAAGCTAGAGATGTCCCACCATATCAAGTGATTTACCTCCACTGACCGTGACACCTAATGAAGGCATCTTCGCTGTACTCTTTTCTGGCAGAGATTTTGAAGCTTCTTCACAGAATAGTCCTGTAGAAATGATCCTTTTCTAGCCTACGCAACATTAAATGTCCCACCCTTCAACAAATAAGTATGTGTTTCAGTTATGTTATATACCAAAACAAAACTAGAACTTGAGTTTAAGTATTTCTAGCTGTCCAATTAGGTAAATAAAATTACCAACATGTTAGCACCTCACAATTCACCCCACCAGTTGTTTCAGGACCTTTTTGTGAGCAAAGACCACATGGCTGCGTCATGTGTCTGGCACAAAATTCATGAAGAGACTTATAAAGAAGATAGGAAGAAAAAACATGTAGCTATAGCAAACTCCTAAAAACCTCTTACAAACTACTAAAATAGGCTACTCGGTGGAATTCTGAGTGCTTCTGTTCGAGAGCAACTCCATATTTGACACAGGATAACAAGCTTGAGCCACAATTTTCATTTATGAAGCACACAATTTAGGACAAAGATATTTAAACTGGACCTATTTGCTTTTAACTCCAAGAGCTACTTAAACATATGTTGATGGTTTTTAGTTAATTCTTTTCCTACCTTTTGGAATTTATAATTATCATCCTTATATTTTCAAGATTCTGCAATAACAAGGGTAGCAACTGATTTTCATTATCTTAAGTACAATAAGATCTTTTTCACCTAACTGAAACCTAGAGCCATATCTGGACCCCACTGTAGATAACATGGTTTGCAGACATGTTGAGCAGCCACAGCCTAACAAGAAATCACTGCAGCTATTGATGGTTTGCAGACATGTTGAGCAGCCACAGCCTAACAAGAAATCACTGCAGCTATTGATGGTCATTGAATATCAACAGTTATCAGGTTCTTCTATCATTTATCAAAAGAAATATTATACTTCACATGTTTTTCTTCAAGAATTTTTTCTTTCTGTTGTTAAAACTCCTCCCTTCTTTATTACGTTATAGTTGGACATAACTGTTGTGATATTAGCCCAATGTCCCTACTGAATATATTGCCTGCCAGCAGCATGTGTTTTTCACATGAAGATAAAATACATTTATGTTAATTTCTGAGCAGCAAACAGAAGGAACAGATTTTTTTGGTATATGTCTTCACAGGGTTTTTTGGATGAAAGACACTAGCAAGATTTTAGATTTTTATTTAGAATTTCTATGTCAGCAAAGGTATTCACAAATTTTAGTTAAAATAAGATAGTCATGTTTCATTTAAGAATCACTGAAAAAAAAGATTTTATGAAAGTTAGATTAATATAATTGAAAGAATGTACACCAAAACCAGACAATCCTTACAAAAACTTAGTAATAGTCTAACTTATTTTCTGTACACTGAGCTAAATTTTTTTTATGAAACACAAGTGTTTTGTAGGTTTTTCTTATTTCAATTATGCTTCTAACAGACCTTCCAGTTTCCTAGAATGTAAGTGTTAGGGAGTATTCATGGGGTACAGCAGTACAATTCATCTTTGAGCCTGAAGAGAAACTTCATCCTGTAGAATTAAGAGGATCTGTAAGAATTGAAAGTCCAGGGAAAGGGAAGAAAAGACAACTTCATCTTCCTATTCCTCTTACTCCAGGAACTGTCCTAAGGACCAGAGCAATCACCGCGGTATATGATGCAACTAGTCTCCTAGCACACTACTTTGTCCAAGAGAGGGTCTTCAGGAAGGTTCCTAAAGCCTGACTCTTGACAGCATATTTAAATAGAGGCTTCCAGAATGTAAGCCTGTCTAATTATTAAAGACAAGTATTTGATCGTCTAAAACTGTTAAGACTACCTACCATTTTTGTAGAGGCAAAATATCTATCACACCACTGAGTATATAAAGTATTGTCATCAAATGGTCAAACGTATGATTTAGTAGTTTTCTGACACTCATACATATTCTGCAATAACAAAAAGCAGACAAACAACTGTGGAGAAACACCATACTCCCAGGTCCCTAAAACTTTATTTATTAGTCTATGATCAAATTGGAAAGCTGAGTTCTACAGTTCCCTCAGAGCAACAGAATGCAAAGGACATCACAAGCAACATTTCTCCCTTTTTATAGGCATGACTTTGCAAGCTTCAAAACTTCCTGACTCTTTGCCCTTTCTGTATTTTGGGCGAGACCTGGGAACACACCATCTCCCTGCAAATCCCGCTTGTTCCAGAGAGAATAACTGGAGCTTCTAAGAAAGGAGAAGGCTGCAGTATCCAAGCCTTCTCATGTAGAGGAGCAAGGGACTGAGACTACCTGAGAATGAAGACAACCCAGAGGAGGGAGTAAAGAACTGTATAACCAGTGTGTCATTCCTTCATCACATTTTTCTCCCCTTCAGCAATCACAAGCACATAGATGGGAGTAGAAGAACAGTGATCATGTATGACTAACTGAAATAGACTTCTGATTAACCACATATAATTTATATTTTTGTTGCATTGTATTTGTTATATATAGCCACCTAAATTGAACATTTTTCTTCCATACCCCATTTTCAATACAAACCTCATTGATTCTCATGAGAACACATATCTCAAGATTTCTGCCCTAATTCATCAGATATAAAAGGAGCCATATGAAGTATAGGTACAAAAAAATATTGAGATATATCATCTGCTAATCATAGTCTCAACCACTTTTGTTGAAATTACATGCCTGTGAAAATAAATATTTCCTAGAGCAGCGTGTGCTGAATTCAAGTCCTTTTCCACCCCTCACTGCCTCCAAAACACAGTACAAGTCCTCCCCAATTCTTTCTATTCTGCTGAAACTTGAGATGGAAGATAGTCAAAAGGAAAAAATGGTTTTGTGAATTGATTTATGTAGAATATTAACCCGCAATCCCTTCTCAAATTTGCAGAGTCCCTTCTTAAAGCAGATATGTTATTTATTTTAACTTCTGTGTGTGCAACTGTTTCCTAATGATATCTGACACAATAATTAGTCTGAAGCAAGCCGGGGTAGTTTAATATATTTCCCTCCTCTTTTCTATCCAACTTTTACAGAGTTTCATTAATCTTTGCCACCAACATCAGGAAAGCAATAAAATATGTATAACAAAGTAAATAACAACACTTAATAACAATCTAGACTTCCATTTGAGTCCCAGTATTAAATATTAGTTTCTGAAAATAAACAGGCTACTTGTCCAAAAGGCTAATTAGCTGGTTACTCAGACAGTTCAGGTAAGCTACCTACGTTAACGTTCACCTTTTATAGGTGCTGTAGATGGGAAGCATCAGGAAAACGTTTTACAACAACATGTGAACTTGGTGCAAGAGGTAAAGAGCATTGACAAGAATGTTGATAACCTACTGATGTTTTTAATTGTTGTCGAGCAATTTCTATATTAGATTATGGACTTTTTCAGTTCCATACTGCACCTGTCCCCCCAGCTTCTCCTCTACAATAAGCCGGGAGGGGACACAGCCTGGACAGCTGACCAAACTGACCAAAGGGACATTTCATGCCATCAAACGTCATGCTCAGTATATAGGCATGGGGGAGTTGGCCAGCAGGTATGATTGCTGCTCAGAGACTGGCTCAAAGTTGAACTGCAGGTGGTGAGCGACTGGGCTTTATTTTGTTTTGGGGTTTCCTCCCACATATAGTGCATTGAATCTACTGGTGCCCAATGATTTCAAATTCTGTTTCTACACAATGGTGGTGTGTATGGCAGGGGTAACACCACCTGTTCCTCCTGCTGCACTGCAGTTTGGTTGTTTTGGGCTGAAAAAATTGCTGTGTCAGGGAACACTCCACAAGCTGTATAATTATAAAAATATTGGCTGCTCCCTTTTTGAGTGTATTCCTGTTGCAGAAAAGTTCCTTTTCACATGTCAGCAATATGGTTTATGGTAAACAGCAAGAGCCCCACTGAAAGAAAGGAGAGAATGGAGAGCGGTGTAGCAGAACCAGCTTGCGGCATGAACTTTGCTCAGTGTCTTTGCTGCCAAGGTATCAAGAAATCCCAGAGTGAGCTGCTGAGAGCTCACTTCTCCTTTTTCACACACTGTTATCAAGGTGTATGAACCAGGCACCCAACACCTCTATTCAGCACTGGACATCTGGAGTGCTAACTGCACACTGTTTGCTTTAAAGAAAATGTTTTATTAATTCAGTGTTATATAAAATCACCATTTATATACACTGTACAGATATATACAGTATAAATATACACACAGATCTTATGATCACATACAGATTAGGGCAAAGCATAATCAAAACGACATAGCTCTCTGATAAGTCAGACAGCAGGAGCTGATAATTTTTTCTGCCCAGCATCCTAGCTCCCCACCCCCACCAGAAAATCCGCTCACTTCTCTACCAGTTATCCACAGAAACACCACCAGGTACATTGATAATGTGCACAATGGGCTCCGTAACTACCTGCCTTTGCCTGGTGCTGCACATGCGAGCAAATGCCCTGCACCATCCACTGGTGTTCACGCCGCTGAGCACAACTAACACCTCCCATGACAGACCCTGGGCAGGTGCAAACACGCTCAGCACCATAACCTGCCCCATGACTACAACCTGCAGATCTGCAAGAAAGCCACCCCAACAAGCCATCCGGAGCACGAGCTCCCATCTCTCCTGCTGCTTCCTTCCCGCAGTCAGCCTCTGCCTTGAGGATTCCAGGGGACAAGGGTGACCCCATGCTCTCATGCCCCTTGCTGCCTACATTTAAAGGAGGTTTCTCAGAGTATGGGGGCTTTCTTACAAGCACTACTGCCTCAGCACGTTGGTGCTGAGCAGTCATAACTAAACGGTTGTCCTTTTTGTGGGATTTTGGCCAGTGGGAGAATAACTCTCATTTTGACATCCTGCCTGTCAACGTAGTGAATGTAGCAGCAAAATAAAAACAGTAGTCTCTTGTACATTAAACGACAGCTTGAGTCAGCTCAGTTGATTCAGAGGCTCTGCTGGGAAGCTTAAATAAATGCAGGGCTAGAGAAGTGATTTAAGAAGGACTTAATTAGGAATTGCACACTTGGCATCTTTGAAATCAAGAACTAAAACCTGCATAGGAGCACCTCTCCTATGATGAAAGGCTGCAAGAATTGGGCTTGTTCAGCCTGGAGAAGAGGAGGCTCCGAAGAGACCCCATTACAGCTTTCCAGTATCTGAAGGGGGCCTACAAGGGTACTGGGAGAGGACTGTTCACAAGAGCCTGTAGTGATAGGACAAGGGGTAACGGGTACAAATTGAAAACAGGGAGGTTTAGATTAGATATCAGGAAGAAATTCTTCACAGAGAGGGTGGTGAGGCACTGGAACAGGTTGCCCAGAGAAGCTGTGGATGGCCCATCCCTGGAAGTGTTCAAGGCCAGGCTGGATGAGGCTTTGAGCAACTTGGTCTAGTGGAAGGTGTCCCTGCCCATGGCAGGGAGGTTGGAACTAGATGGTCTTTAAGGTCCCTTCCAACCCTAACCATTCTATGATTTTGTCTTAGCTGTTGCATTTTTCCCTTTTTTTTTTTTTCCCCTCCTACTGTGATCACAAGATACCATTTAGATATTAGGTCACATCTAAAGTAATCTTCAAAGCTCTGGTGTGCAGAAACTCTTTTTGTGGGCTTGTTCTGTTGACAGGACCTGCCTTGCTGCAATTAGTAGCTACTTAGAACTGAATGATGGACCTATGTAAAGCTGCACTATTTAAAATAGTGCTGGCAAAGTTTCGTTGGAAATGAAAGAGATGAGTACACTGTACAGGCTCTTGCTTTTCCCAATTTGTCCTCATGTTTTCCTGCTGTTCTGCTAGAATGCTCTACCAGAATACCAACAATTGTGTGTCAGGAATCAATAGAACTGCATGCAATATTTATGCCAAACTATGCCCCATAAGCCTGCTCTTTTAAAGTCAGTTTTTGCTTACTTTCAACATAATATTTTGAAATGGCTATTCTGCTTAAAAGAAACAAAGTGCCTCAGTTATCTTTGATAATATTGAAAAGATTTTACTGGGAGGGAAGCCTGTGTTAAGAAAAATCATTGGAGCACTAAAGAGACAATTCTAGGCAGCATCTCAATTTTTAACCTTTTTCATCACTGTGCTTATGCCATTTAATGCTTTTCGACGCTAAATACAAAGTGCATTAGACTACTGATCCTAATACTAGTCTGAGCTATTTTAACCTAAGTCTGTTAATAGCACCTTTTAAGGGAACCTTTAACAGAGGGAAGATTGATGTCCAAAAGAACAAGAGCTGAAAACATACAAGCGAATGAATACTACTTATTCTTAAAATATGGATTATAAACACAAGGTCTCATTACAAGTACATTCCTCATCCCAGCAGGAACACAACAGTTTACACTAGTATAGATCAAACTCTAAAAATCCTGTCACAGATACAAACATTTTTGCAAGCAGGAATAGTTTGAGAAATATTGCACTAGATTTTAAAGAATCCTATGTTAACTAAAATCTTACAGAGTAGAAAATAAGCAGTGAACACAGGAAACAAAGTACTATATGCATGCTAGAGTATAATTATTCAAAACTTGAGAAATTACCAGGGCTGATTTTCTAAGAATACACTCAAAAATGTCACACAGATATTTCTTAAGAAAACAGAGAAACTGATGCTTTGCCAGATGACTTCAGCATGATAGCAGCTACTTCGAAATAGTCACTTGCAAACTACCTATACTTAATTTATTTTACAGTTTGCATAGCACCTTATCAGCCAACTACAACTCTTCTTAATTATTAAGCAGGACTTCTTTAAGGTATTATCATTTATCACAGTCCTGGTGTAACTACTGGACTTCTCCAGAGCTTCATGACTTGGACCTACACTCTCTTGACGATCTGAAGAGCTGAGAGCAGACTCCACATTGCCTCTAATTCTGGATTTCCAAAGTTACTTTCAGGGAAGACGTCAACTGCTGAGTAAGCCTCCTGTATCAATTATGCAAGTTCTAATACAAATTTCAACACAGAGGTGACAGTTGCTTACTCACTCATTCCCAAAGATAAACTATTCCAAGCTCTCCAGTCCACTGTTAGTTACTTCTTCAGAGGCACAGAAAAACTGCAGCGAGGCCTATGTAGGTGCCAATGACATTAAAATTCACACAAAACAATAAAATATCACTATGATCATTCTTGAACCAGTGTTCTGAACTTTCTTAGGCATTTTCCAGGACAAGTGATCTATCTAGAATGCCAATACTCCTTTCCTGCAAGTTAATTCTCATCTAGAGTGTATTCCTTTCATCTATTGAGATTGTGTGTTTTCTTAGTTCGTAAAACAAACACACATATAATCCAAAAAAAACCCCCAAGTTACCCAGATGTGTTTACCAACATCAAAAGAGTTTAATGGAAAGTGTTGAATTACTGTGATGAGGATTTTGAATAATGGATCCTTCTTTATTTAATAGCTGGTAAACTTCAGATTTAATTAACAAAAGCTTTGTAAGGAAGGCGGGTTGGGGGAAGGCACAGGACACCTCAAGAATAGCCCTGAAATACGAGCCAATATTGTTAGCACTACAGGATGACAGAACAGATCAACACAATTTTAAACACTGCAGAGCAAGAAGAAAACTAGTAAAAAATAAATGGGGGGATGAAGCAGAGAGAAGGCAAGAATAGCTGGTAGTTACAGTGCAAAGCCCCTGCTGCTTCAGCATCCTATCCCTAGCAATAGCAAACAGTAGATTCACGGAGAAATTTAAGAACAGAATAAACAGACAGTGATACCACTCCAGAACACTTTCCAAGTCTCCAGCTGTCTCACAGACAACCTGGCTGAGACTTGGTATCTTCACTGGAAGTGAGAAATAGTTGAATCTAAAGGGTTTGCCCTTCTCTACCTGGCTAAGCAAAGATGAATAGTACTGTAGGACTGTCTCAACATCTTTTCGACTTCCCATTAAAGTCAGTGTATCCATGTGCTATGGTCTCAGTGAAAGTATCTTTATAAAACAGGAAATGCAACTAAAAATGGATGTTCTAATTCAGAGTTGTTTCCAAGGCATACTTGAAAGTAAGAGAAAGTTCGATCTATTTGGTCTTTGTGCAAAAGAACACATGCTGCATCATATTTTTGTCTTATAGTATGCAAGATTTTAGGTAGAGGTGGCTTAAAAAGCACATAAAGCATGTAGAAATAATAAATATTTTCAGACTAACATAACTTGCTTTTTCTTTCCCTTTCAGTATTTTGTACCACACAGCCTTGGCCTTAACATTCTGTTTATGTGTTGCAGAGAACTTCTCATAGCAAGAACACTGTTTTAAGTTTCTCAGCTTCTGTGTACACACAACATCAAGAAAATAGGTACAATAAAAGATGGATAGTATTTCCTGTGGCATTTCACTTTTGGTGATGGCGAAAAGAGCGTGCATTAGTACACACAAGCACAGTTTGAGTGAACAGACCTTTGAATTAAATTTTTCAACTAGCATGGATTATAACACAGCTCTTGCTTAAGCAATAAATACTTGCTCATTTTCTGCCTGTAATTCTGAAAAGTTCAGGGATTTGTCTCCTTGACAGCCTTCCTGCAGTCACTGATACTACATCCCCCCAAAAAAGGTAAAGAGTAAAGTGCTTCCTCACACAGAGACACAACTCTCACGTCGACAGCACGTGCCAGGTGTGTGCATGCCCAGGTAGCGCCCGCAGATGCTAAACACCAGCATTCCCATGTGTTAAGCCAAGAGGCTACCTGGTGTTTTTAATTAAAATGCAGTCAGCTGAAAATCATTAATATTGCCAGAGAAAGAAAAACAACCTTTACTCTACTGGGCGCGGGTAATAAAGTTTTGGGTTTTTAACTCACCGAGCTCCACCTGTGAAGGTTAAGATGAAGGTTAGCTCAGAGAGGATTGCAGCTCTATTTTGTAGACCCTGATAGGGTTGTGCATCATTCAACTCTTACCTCCACAAGCTGAATCACAGATTTTATTACAAGATTACACTTCCCCCCCCCTTAGAAATTAACATTACTTACTCTCCATAATAGAAACATGCCTATAAAAATGTAAATTTAGGGCAGGCCATCTAAATAGAGCATGCTTTAACAGGCAAGACTAATCTTGCAGACCTCTGGTAATTTAAATTCTGACAGTGTAAGAAAACCGCAATTGATATTCTACATAAAGGAGCCAAACAGAGACATCAGTATTCTGATGAAGATTGGGAAAAAGGCAAAAAATACTTTTAAATAAATAGTTGTGGTTTTCAGTTTAAAATATTTTCATTTTGCAAAAGTCTTGTTTATTCATTTGTTAAACATACTTATAAAAGAAACCCCACTCACTATTAACAATCAGTATTTAACCCTTTTATTTGTCAGAGATTTGCCTGGGGCTGGGCAAGGGGGTGCCAGTGCATACCTGCAACTTCCATTACCACAGCAAGGAGTACCCCTCTCAAAACTGAATGCACAGAAACTTCCTTTAATATTCAATACCTACAGAATTTTCCTGGATTTTCACTTACACTTTTTTTAATCAAAATGTTATACTTCACACTCCAACAACGTAAAGACTGTAATTAGCACTTACAAAAAACGTTTGAAATCCAAGTGGCATGCAAATTGTAGTTCTCATGCCATTCTTCTAGTGTAAGCCTTCTCATTGCTTTAAAAAAAAAAAAAAATATTTGCTCAAATTTTGTAAAACCGGTTGAGAACGATGA